AGCTATCCTTACTAAAGAGTTCCAAAGTATAATTAGGGTTTCCACTGTGCTTATTCAGTTTGTTGGGGGTTTTGTACTAGTTGAATATGAAGAAAGCTTCACTGATTTAATTTATTCAAAAATCCTGACAAATCCTCTAAACAAAACAAATCCCAGACAATTATTTTACTCCAATTTCCACCTTCAGGACACATTTCTTCATCAACTTGATATTTCTACTGTCACCCATTCTCCATTTTTCTTATACATGATAATCTATAAAAAACTTAGTTGAATTACTTAGATGGAATGTTCTGATTTGGGAAGATTCAGACCAGTTGCATGAGACTTGGAAGAACAGATGTTCCTATTTAGCATTTCAGCAACATCATGAAAAGTCCATCTGCCTTGTGGCAGTGCCAGCATTCAGGTATCAGTGACCAGTTTAGAGAAGCAAAGTCCAGGGACTTATACCTATATATTTGTTCTCATGGAATTAATACAGGACTCATGCAAATACTCCCACCTGTATCAATAATGGGGAATGAAATCTGAGATATGACACTTGACTTTTCTACTGGGCTTGTTTTAATCTCCCCCTTCTCAGTGAAAACACAAGATTCAAGATGTTAAACTTTGATTATTCTGTTATATTTTTTATATATTCTTGGCTTATAATATTGATGATGATATTCACTTCTTGACAGTCAAGTGAGTGTTTAGACCAGGCTAAAAGAATGCCACAAATGTAGTTTCATCATATATTCACTTAGTCATTAGCAAATTTGAATGAAGCTGATAGTACCACTATGAAAACTAAAGCTTTCTTCATCAGTAAAGAAGTTCAGAATCTGGCTCATATTTGAGTAACTCACAGTGCCATAATACTGTCCTTTATTTTTTACCTGATTGTCTTTTTTGACAGAAGATTTTGATTTTAGGTACTGGGGTCCCAACATAAATAATACCGCAATGAGGTTGAGGAGAGAGGCAAGTATTTTCTATCAGTTCCAAAACAACATAGCAAGCATATTCAAAATAAGGAATTACAGAGCAGAGAAGAAAAGGATTGAATTCTCTTTCAAGTGGACAATCTACAATAGTATCTTACCCTGAAACAGGAGATAGGATTAAATGTTTCCAGTTGGAGGCAGTATTATCTTTTGCTACAAAGGGAGTTTTTTTATCTCATCATTCATATAACTCACTACAGCACACGAATCCACAGAACGTTCCATTAATTCAGAGGATCGAAAAAAAATCCAATTTGCACTGCTGGGGTGGAGGGGAAGACAGAGAAGTAGGGGATAGAGGTATCACACATAAAGCTTTACATGCTTTGCATACTTCCAGTGTTAGCAATGTAACACACAAGTGCTTTTTTGAATCTGTAATTTGCAACCTTCAATGTAATTCTTTTGTTTCACTTAGATTAAACTCATATATGTGATAAATATTCTACCAACACTGTTCCATGCAGTGTCAGTGCGTATAATCCCTTTTGATATCAATTATGTTCATAGTAGCTGAATGATGGGACTGACTTTCTCTCTCTACTCTGGTTTGGGTCAAGTGAAATTCAGGTGATGACATTTAATATGAAACCAACTAAGTGTGAAAGGTTATAAGTGAAAGATCTTCTCTTTTCCTGCAGCTTCCTTATAGGCAAACAAATGAATAATGAATTCACTGTAACATCTTCATTTGATCTACTCAGCTGTAAAATATGAACATTCTCAAAGCTGAAGTTACTCAGACATCTAACAAATGCTAATGAACCAACTTTGTTTCTGCAGATGCAATTAAAATCCTCATCTTTATCTATGCAGTCCAGGTTAAAAAGGCTGATATCAGGCTGCAGGACTACATAATGAAAAAAAGCTAGCTAAACAGAAATGACGACATGCAGATGGAAAGCAGAAATTCCCAGAGAGAAATGATCTTGCCTTGCAGCAGAATAATTATCAGGCTACCAAGACACAAAAGCAATCAAAATGGAATCAAAGGAAAAAGAGAAACAAAATTAGTGAAGATCTTCATCTCTAATGATATGTAACAGTGTTTATATTTCATGTTTGAAGTCTCACTTGGTCTTCTGCTATGAAGAATATGCTATATAGAATGATACCATAAGAAAAAATAACAATGAAATGTCGCCATCCTGTTCTTTTCCCACACAGGAATTCCCACTGCTGCATCTTCATCAATACCATTAATTAGATTAAATGTGGCTACTTTATTAGGAGAAGAGGTAGGTGGTATGTCATATTTACAGTGCTGCAGACTCTGAGATTGGAGCTGAATTACATCCTGGATAGCTGGTCTGTAAAGCTGTGCACTGAGTGCATCAGACTCAACCTACGAACACAAAATGAGCTAATTTATGCACAAAAAAATATGCAAACATAAGCACTGAATGCACAAGCAATCCATTGACTAGATTGTCTAGTTTCTCATTCCACTTAGGGAATGTATTGCTTCTGAATACTAATCACTTCTCAAGGTGATTACTATTCCAATCAGTGTTTTTTAGGGTGCAGTCAGTAAAGGCTAGAGTTAGCTGAAAACTCTGCTAGGCAATTATTGCAGAGATTTGAGTAGAATTTCATTTAATTACATCAAAACATCTTTCTAGACAGTGGCTGTCTGTGGCCTGTAGTATTAAGAGAAACTCCCAAGTACTTAAGTACACTTTCTGCAATGGGCTACTTATTAGGATCAGAATTTTTATTTGCACTGATGCTCCTTAGCAGCAACTTTATTATGTTGTGAAGAAATGGGCAAAATTTCATTTGCTCAGTTCCAAACAATAGGCAGTGCCTAGACTAGACAAGGCCTGTAAACCCTAGATAAAATTAAAAATTCTAATAGAATTACCCTCTGCTATGTACTAATTGCCATCAGGTATGTACAGGCAGTGATGTTAATGTAGGATGAAGTGACATGCAGAAAGTGATTCTATAATTAGAATGCTATACACTGATTGAACTGCAAAAAGCATACTCTAATTTTAGAAGTGCTGGAAAGGGTAAAAGAATAAATATATATGTGCTTTGATAAGCCCCCAGAAAGGGATGACTGCTGCCAAGAGGTTTAAGTTATGTAATCACTGCAATTACATGTATCCAAGCATATGAAAAAGACATCAATGCCAACACAACACAGCATTAGTCTTTACAGTGCACTCCACCCTGTTCAAAGCTTAAACATGCAAAAACATTTTCATTTTGAAATGGAGCTCATCCATGAATTACTGAAATATCAACTATTATCCAGTTACCTCCATAAGAGACTTTTTACTGATTTAAAACCTTTCTGGGAGATAAAGCTCTCCTCCTCCCTAATCCCTTTCTTTCTGAACTGTTCCTGATCCTCTGTATTTACAGAATTTTTTAACACATGTTGCACAGCGCCTTAGAAACCTTAGCTTTTCATATTGCTAAGGGCTTTACACCTGCAATCCTACAGCCTGCCGCCCACTTGCAGCTCCCTATCCCTTCACAAAAGCTTCTAGGACAATATACCTCAGGATGCCCGTGGCAGCATTTTTCCTGTGACATTCCTGTTTGTTATTCATCTCTTGGACTTGCAAACCCTGATACCGTTGTTATGGCAGGTTCTCAAGGGAAGTGATTACTGCTGATATTAGAATCACCCATTCTTTCTCCTCTTTTCTGATTTCTACATTTGTTTGAGGCTTCTGGTTTACACTACAGGACTCATTAATGTGTTTGCAGAAAGCTCAGCAATGAACCAGCTGTGTAGCACCTCTCTTAGTCAATGTGTGCTCCCAGCAATGGCAACAGCAATATAAGCAGGAACAACCCATGAGAAGTGTGAGTACATCTTGACAAAAAATATAGTTACTGTGTGAAAAGTAGGAATGAGCCACTGACCACAACTCTCTGTGTGTGACCATCCAGCCAGTTCTTTATCCACCGACTTGTCCACCTATCAAATCCATGTCTCTCCAATTTAGAGACAAACATGTCATGCAGGACAGTGTCTTCCTGATTGGCCACTGAGAAGGGGTTTTCCTTTTTTTTCCTCACTATCTTTCTCTTCTTATTACTTTTTCTCCTTCACTCCCTTGTCTCCAATAACATCTGCCATTAGAACAGATGAACAGCACCATATATAGACCCACTAGGAAATCTTTATGCAAAGCACACTAGTCTGTTATTAGTCTTTCCATCATTTTCCTTATCATGTAAAAAAAAAACCCTCCTTTTTTTATTTCCACTTGCATATAACACATATTTTATTTTAACGCTTCTAACAACAGAATCTATGATTCTATAATTAAAATAATATCCTTATGCTATTACTAGTATATTATCCATATGTTTTAGGTCTTTACTTTCTTAATTTTACTTTATTCCGCAAAATTGAACTTGAAATTCCACAGATAATTTTGTATTCTATTACTGCATACACTGTTGTAATTTGCTAAAAACACTGTTGCATGTGCTAAAAAACTTCTTATGTTTCTTAAGCAAATCCAAATCCTCACTGATTTTAAATAATGTTGAATCTATACCATATAAAACTGAAAACTAAATACTGTTGACATATAGTAACTTCCTCATACCAGAATGATACAATCATATTCTTGATAGTACAAAGGAGTAACATTCTCAGTTATGTCTTATTATTTCCAGTATGATTAAACCAAAAAAAAACCCACAATAACTGTGGATCAATAGATTTCAATTTTCCCAGTATGATTAAAACAGAAAAAAACCCCTAGATCACTGTGGATCAATACATTTCAATTATTCCTGAGTCTAAAAAATACAAAATAAGTGGCATGACTTTGCAGTTTCACAGTGGAACTAAGATTTCCTATAAAAGTGATTTTCATAGTATGGACACTTTTAACTGGTGGTAACATAAAAAAGATAAAGTATCAGTTCTTATGCATATAAAGAAGACAGAGAAACATATATGAAGGAAATTAAAATCGTATTTTAGTGACAATTCAGGTACAATATAATTAACCTTGCATATGCATTCCTTACCCTGGACCTCTCCTCTAGTTTTGTCATCATGACGACAGTTGCACCTCGTTGCTCCCACATCATTCTCCAGAAGTCACCAAAGGTTTCTGGCAATGCCCCTTGTGTTGCTATATAAGCATTCTGCTTCCTGTATCCATCTATGTAGTTGGCATTGATATAGTCACTGCCTGGTATGCCTGAAAAGAGAGAAGAGTGAAAATACAGGGCACCATTTCTGTGCTTTCCTATTATACAAGGGCTAAAAATCCTGTGACATAGATGGATCAGTGCATTTTAGCTTGCGGCATGTCAAGTAGCCCATGGGTACTTGCAAATGAGTGTATGCCATTTGCAGAGCTGAGAGGTATGATGGACTCTTTGGGAATAACTATTCTTTTGAAACAAAGGACTCTCTATGATAAGAAGTATAAAAGAAGCCAGAAAATCTGCGCCAGGTGGAGAGACCTGGGGGTCAAGACAGAAGCATTTACAAGCTGGTCTGACACTGCCTGCAGGCACCCACCAGTATGGCAGTCTCTGCCTGGGACAGACAAGGAAGACCCTCCATCAGATGCCCTGAGTAGGCTCCCTTAAATACTCTTGTTGAGCTCTCTGCATGTCTTTTAAATAAAAAGCTAGTGTTGTCAGACTATTAATATCACTGCTACATTCATTTTTCCCATTATATGGGAGACTGATTATGAGCTTTATTTTAACAAAACATATTGTGTAAGTCAGATTCAAGAAATATTGAAATCTTCCAAATGGCATATGCATGAAATAAAGACCTCTGAAAGTCTGAGTAAGAACTAAACGCATGAAAAGATGGTGGAATCATAGACCCGTGGGCACACTGGATCTACACTGTCAATTGCTTGAGGCTCAGGTATTTTGGACAAGACTTACAGAGGGACTTTAGTTGTGTCTACCAAATACATGTCTATTCTTTGAGACTGTCAGAAGCACGACAGTTCCTAACTACAATCTGTTTAACTCAAGGTATGCAGTACCATGCCTGTACTCAGAGCTGGACCATAACAGGCTGCCTGCCTCGGTCAAGGAGGAGTACTGTCTGTAGTGAGGATCACGCTACTAGTCTGCATTAATAAGGCAGCCATAGAAAGGGATAAATATGGACTTCAAATTCTCAGTCTGAATTCAGCAGTGGAGTGTCCAGCTTTTAACTCAGACTATGTGCACATTGGAAGATAAAGCATGGAGTTTTTATGCCACTGCTTTTTTTTTCAAAACTGGTGACTTGAGCAAGAAAAGATATTCATGAGGGATCCCAGTGCTGGTTGGATGACAAAGCAGCATTTCCCATCTTACTACAGTGTTGGTACTTCGAAAACTTCCTCAGAAGAGTTAGGTGAAATACAGATCTGTGCATCATAATAAAATAATGCAAAAGGTTTGTTAAAGCAATTGACAGAAGTTACTTCTTTGAGCAGAAATGAATGATTTATATTTACACAGCCAATCTGTCATGCACAAGTCTACAGCCCCCAGATACGGTGCAGGTTCCACAAACTCTTTCAAAAGAGAGTCAAGGTGGTGATACAAGCTTCCTGGCTTATTCTAAAGCTATGACTGTTTTCACTCCACAAAGCTGAGTTTCTTTAGCTATGCAACAGAATAAATTACTGACTATGTTTAAATAAGTGTTCCCCAAGCTTTCTCTCAGAAACTGAATCTTGAGATCTGTTCTGATGTATTATCTCCTGCTGGTGATCCCAGACCAGGAATTACTGGAGTTGCACATTCCTGTCTTTCCTGACAAGCACTGGCACACATCTGAAAATGTCATCCAATAATCTGAATTTGACTGAAAAGTAGAGGTACCTCTTTAACACTTTAATTGTTTGGGGTTTTTTAGCTACAATTTGAACAGCTCCTACATTCATTCTGGCTATGCTTAGTGTTTCATTCTACTACTCACTTAGCAATGAACAAATCCCCTAACTAAATGAGACACTAAGTAAAATCCAATATAACTGGAAATTATACAGATTATGGGTTACTGTAGCTGTAGTCTATCATAAAATTTTGCCTTTATGCCCAATAAAGTTTAATACATGTTCTGGTTATATATGTTCAAATTGTATTTAAACTTAAATATTAATTTGATCTCACTTTCTCTACCCAATTAAAAGAAAAATATGACAAAATATTTCAGGGACAGAAAGAGCTTGTATCTTCATGGGCACAAGAGAGGCAGAAAATGGCACTCCTCAGGCAAGATATATGAATGGACATAGGAAGACTGGCTGACTCTTGATTCAAGATGATTGAAAGTCTCTTCTCGGAGAAAAACAAAGCAAAATAAAAAACCTTTTAAACCTGCATAGTCTACAGCCAAAAAGCATTATTTCCCTTCCTGAAAGGCAGAAATTTGAGTTCAAACACATCACTCTTGTAGACTTGAAGCTGTTTTACATGACACTTCTTATTGTGGATATTGGAATTAATGACTTAGAAAATACAACTGCTAGGCACAATGCTGTATCTTCTTCCTTTATCAAGATAATAAAACACTTTTTCACAAAACAGATGAGAAAGAAAAATGAAGCCAACAGGAGAAATCTACACCAACTGGGTATTATTACCAAAGGAACTGAGAAAGCTGGCAAGAAATGTTTTCTGTATAAATTAGAATTATATTATGATGCCTGGTATCATACTTTGAGGCACATGTTATAAATAAATGCCTGAGGAAAAAATGAAAACAGAAAAACAACACTTTGTAAAGTGGTTAAATGATCTTCTGGGAAAGCTGTCCTCTGGAACTGATACTGCACAAACTCAGCATGAAAATTATGCATGAGAAGTATTGCAAACTGTTCACTAAAGAATGATGTCTATGAACCTTAGCAGCCAAACCTAGCACCTGATGTAAAAAATTTCAGAATATCTAAAATTGTAAATATGCTTTCTACTTACTAACTTGTAAAAAATTCATTTAAAAATCACAATAGAATAAATAACTTCTAAATTAAATTCTAATTCCTTAAATTAGAATGAGGAAAAACTTCCAGATCATTCCTTCCTTGATCACAGATTCAACTAAGAAAGAATTAATATTAACAATTACTGGTAATTCCAAAGAGAATTTCTTCCTGTCTAGGTTAAAGTGGAAATTTTCACCCTATTTCTCCACTTGACTTTTATAAAGATGACCCAAAAAATTCCTCTATGTCCTTTAGCCAGAAATATTATTTTACAAGGCAAGTCAGACTCATGATGCATGAAGAGGATATGGCTGGGACATTGACATAAGAGTCCATTCACCACAGGCCCTGAGCACCTGTTAGTGATGTAATCAATGTAGTTTTGCAAGAAAACCCTACCTGCTGCTCCAACACTAGCACTGAGAGAAGATTTTCATCAAGGGTTTATCTCTAGCAGAATACAGTACTCAACAGGGTTATATGTCTGCCAAGATCAAGAGAACAACAGGATTCACAACGTTCAGCTCCACTGTCTCTCTCTCACACAGTATCTATTAGGTATTTTGTTCTCCATCCATTCTCATAGTTCCTTCAAGTATCATACCCAATTCTCACACCTCTTTTCACTGCTGTTTTCATGCATGACCTCAGTTTCACATCCTGTTCCAAAATCCTTTTGTATTCTGTAATACCATTTTCTCACTCTCTATCTCACACTTTGCCATGAGTTTTTGCTTCATCAGCTATATCCCCACAACACATAAACTTAAAGCTCTCTCGGGAAGGTGTCTTATCACAAGAGGACTAATGAATTGTGTGTAGTTTAAAAATAACAAATACAAAACCTGAATATCTGTAAATATCTACACTGATCAAGCATAAAAAATATCAAAGGCAAATAAATCTACATATTAAAATATCACTTTCTGCAATGACTTTTCTGGCCATAACCTCATTCTGAGCTGAGAAAGCTGAACAATTCTCTGTCAAATCTAATAGTGCAAAACCAATCAAATAACAACCAGTTTGACTGCAGTACAATGAAATCCTGCAAACCTTTGTTAGCTGCTATAGCTTGAAGGCAATATACTCTCAAGCATAGCAGCAATTGCCATCATTACTTAAATTTGAGTTTAATAGTTAAGAGAGGGCAGTTGTTCTGTAATAGCATGGGTCAAGAAGGGGACAAAGCAACCAAATTCCACCTACGGTAAATTGATATGAACATTCCCTAAGTCTATTAGTATCAGTGGCGGTTTGAATTTAGGATGGCATACCTGAAGTGTAAATTTAGGGTAATCCATGTTTCATGAAAGCGGGGTTTTTTACAAGTTTCATGAAAGCAGAGACAGAGTTTCTGCACAAGAAGTCAGGTAAAGACCAAGCTTCCAGAGCATAATTCTAGCATAACTGTTTTCTAGTAGCCTTTTCAACTCTGGTGATGAATGACCGGAGTCTGCAATCTCCTTATTTAGCCAGACAGGAATCGAACACAGTAGGGGAAGAATCAGATGAGTAGTTGAGCATAAAAGAGGCACCATTTTCAAATACCTCAAGAGAACAAAACAGCTCAGATTTCACAGAGTAAGAGTGAATGAGCAACAAAGCAAAATTAGCCAATGCCACAATTAAGGCGCAAAAGATTAAAAAAGCCATGAACTGTATTGCTCGCTATTTATGCTGAGAACTCATGAACTGAGATGACAGCACAGCCTACTGTAACATAGACTTAGATCCATAAGGCTAATAACGCAGACCTAGGAATGAGCCACTTGATTTCCTGAAGACAGTTATAATCTTAAATAACTTTAATTTGACTTCACGTTTTATTCACAAAGTGAAATAAAGTAATGAAATGATTTCAAGCCTTTACAAAGGCTCAGTACTAAACAGCCTTTCTATTTAAACAAATTAAACTATAAACCATGTTTGTGTGCTGCTTCCCTAAGACATGTGCTGTTAGTCATAAATAGTGTGAAGTAATAGGATTAAATTCTGTCATGCTTGTAAACAATTTGGAAAAACATAATGATGAACTCAAAACGCTGACGAAGTTTCACTATTAGTTTAAATCAATGATTGGTGTTACGAACAATGTCAGAGCAAAACTGAACTAAGGCAGATACTAGATGCCAGTAACAACTGCTTATGTGGAAATTTTTTTAACATAAAGTCTATATCGTTAAGGAGATCATCAAATCGAAATGGTCTAAGCACAAATCTGTACTATAAGAACTCACTGAAATATG